AAACACCACTGGAAGGAACATCAAAATAAAATGATAATTAAAAAATACCCCAACTTCCCAGCAGCTTCTCATGAGTCGCTCTTGGTAGTAAAGTTTTTTCCTCATCTATTGATGAGACTCCCTTTGGTATTGCTTGCCTGCACCAAGTCACACTTCTCTGTGTTCTCCTTGTCACCTCCTGTGACATCATGTGGTATTTCCCACAGTCCTTAGCGAGTCCTTATAGTGGGCATGCTCCGTAGAGTCTTTCTCCGGAGACGTGACACAAAGACTACACTTCCCATGCTTCCATGGGACATGTTCCTGTATAATGTTAACCCTTTCCCCACATATCCCCTTCGAGGCTTTGAGACGTGGAACCAACCCCGCAGCATAACACGAATCAGTAATGATATTCAGTGGCTGATCACAAAACAACTCAAAAGCTATGCGAATAGCAGCAAGCTCTAAAACCTGTACAGAACCTTGGTCTATGGTCTGTACTTGATTGTCCCAGTGTCCTGTGACAGGATTTATCCATGTCACTGCGGCCTTTTTTGACCATCCAGACACATCAGTAAAAACAGTGATGCCTAATACAGGTTGTGGCCGGCAATGATGTGTGGCCATTAGAGGTAGATTTCCCATTTCTGCCCAGTCTTTGCTTTGGAAAGTGAATGGAAATGTCACCATTGTAGTCTGCCAACGCAGCCTGAAATCCGGCGTCCTCTGCGAGAAGCCAGTCCAAGTTGTCTTTGGTTGCTGGAATGTAGATGGTCTCGGGGTCTCGTCCATCCATCTCCTGCAGACATCCTCTACCTTTAACAACAAACTTAGCAAACATGTCATTAACAGTTCAGACAGTCTTAGGTGGAGAGTGGGGCAGAAACAACCATTCCAGGATCCTCAGGGGGTCAGACTCTGTCTGATCCCACTGGAAAAGGATGGCAAAGGGTTGAAACTTGCTGGAAATAAGGGCAAGGCGAATGTGTAGGTTGGGATGTTGTCGTCTACCTTGTCTGTTTTCAATAGCCTGAGAGCATATTTTTAGAGCCTGTTTTACTTCTGTGGTTAGGGACTGAGTAGAGGTTAAATTTGGGTCACCTTTAAGTAATTCAAAAAGTGGGTGCAGTTCCTCTGTTGTGATCCCCAAAATAGGCCTAAGGCAGTTAATGGCTCCTAATAGTTGCTGTAAATCGTTAAGTGTCAAAGTGTCTGTTACCTTAAGAGTCAGTGACTGCGGTGCGATTTCCTGCTGGGTGATCTTCCATCCGAGGTAGGCCCAGGGTTGAGTTCGTTGGATCTTTTCTGGAGCGACCTGCAACCCTTCTTCTCGAACAGCATTAGTTAAGGCAGTCAAAATAGATTGTAACTCAGTCTCTTGGGCGGCTGTTACCAAGATGTCATCCATGTAGTGGTAGATGATGGCTGAAGCGTAGAGCTTCCGGGCAAGGTGTATGGCATTAGCTACCACTGTCCAACAAATGGTCGGACTGTTTTTCACACCCTGAGGCAATACAACCCAGTGGTACCTTTGCATGGGCTCTGCATGATTGAAGGCCGGAATCGAGAAGGCGAAGTGAGGAGCATCGTCTGGATGTAGAAAGATATTAAAAAAACAGTCCTTCAAGCTGATTACTATCAGTGGCCACCCTGCAGGAAGCATGGCAGGTGAGGGAAGTCCTGGTTACAATGCTCCCATTGGCTCAATGGCTGTATTAACTGCCCTGAAATCCTGTAGTATGCGCCACTTGCCACTCTTTTTAGGGATGCAGAACACAGGAGTGTTCCATGGGCTAGAAGTTGGTCCTATATGCCCAGCATCCAGCTGTTCCTGCACCAGGTCTTGCAGGTGAACTAGCCATTCTCTTTTTAGGGGTCACTGATCTACCCAGATGGACTCATCTGTTCTCTATTGCAGTTTTATGACTCTGTGGAATGGCTGATCAATGACCCCTATGGAAAAGCCTGAGCACTTTTCGTCACAATCTGCATAACTGTGCCGAATTGTCCTAGGATGTCCTGCCCCCACAAGGTGCATGGGATCGGAGCTATGAAAGGAGCAATCCGGGTAGTCTGTCCCTCTGGCCCCAATACAGTGCACAGGTGTGCGCTCTGCCTGGGCCTCTGCATGCCACCTACCCCCAAAATGGTCGAGGCAGGGAACACTGCCAGCCAGTCAGAAGGCCACTCGGTGTCTTTGATTATGGACATGTCCGCACCTGTGTCCACTAGACCTTTAAATTTGCGCCCATCAATGCGACACATCATCATGGGCTGAGAGGTGGAGATTGTCTTGGCCCAAAAGATTTGTGGCGCGCCTGTGCTTCCAAATGCCCCAGTGCCTCTCTTGCCTTTTCCCAGGGCAGAAGCACTGTAGAAGGGAATTAACTGGGCGAGCCACTGCCCTTTGGGAATATAGCAAGGTGGCACAGGTGTCCAGGCCATGATTTGGATCTTGCTATGAGAATCCGAATCAACCACTCCGGGTAGGATGAATAAACCCATCTTTGTGGTAGACGAATGTCCGATTAATAGGGCATGCACTCCCGCCCCCAGGGGCCCCCAGACCCCAGTGGGTATCAAAGCCACTGCAATAGATGTTTAAGTCACTGACTCGCTGGAGGCCAGGTCCAGGCCGGCGCTGCCTGAGGTGGCGGCAAGCAAGTCACTGACCAACTGTTTGGAGCCGTATTTGTGTGGTTGGTGAGGGCACGCAGCTTTGCGCCCCGTCTCCAGTTTCCCTGCAGTGCCGCCTCCCCCCAACCACTGATCCGGGACCGACATTTGCTAGCCCAGTGCTTCCCGTTCCCACATTTGGGGTAATATCCCGGAGGGGGTTTTTTAGGGCAGTTTTTTCTAAGGTGGTCAGGCGCTCCACACTGGAAGCAGCTGTTCCTCCCCTTTTCCCCTTCAGGTACCCACAGTTTGGCTGCTAATGCCGTGGCTAGTGAGTTTGTATGGTGATCGACGGACCCCACATTTTGACAAGCCCAGACCATTTCGGTGATTGTGCATTGCTCACGTTTAGGGATGGACTGCAAAGCCCATTGGCAATCATTATTGGCATTCTCGTAAGCAAGCTGTCTGAAAAGCAACTCTCTTGCTTCCTCATTCTCAATCTGCCTTCCTAAGGAAGCCTGCAAATGATCTAGAAACTGGGAGTACGGCTCAGTGGACCCTTGCAAAACCTTGGCAAAAGACAGATTGATGTCTCTATCCATGCTTGGGTGTTTCCATACCGCCCACAATACAAGCTTTGCTATCACCTCATATATTTCTCGGGGGTAGTCTACTTGGGACCTGGGCATGTAATGTGTCCCCTCCCCTGCTAAGTGGGCATAGGTCATCCCTGCTTGCGAATTGCTCTGGTCATTAGCATAAGCCGTGCAGTTCTCCCCCCAAAAATCCGTAAGCCAAACACTGAACTGTGTTATCGGTACTTTGGCTGAATGCCCAGTGTGCACTGAGACTCCGCCCAACCCCCCGCAGAGGGAGAAGGAGGAGGGAAGGGGAGAAAAAAGAAAAAAAACTTGCAAAACCGAGGCTGCTGAGAAAGGCGGTTTTATATTTACACAGAGAAGAAAAAAAACTATAAGCACTATACACACAGGGAAAACTCACAATAAAGACTACTTCCCCACAAAAGGTCGAAAGGTGTTTTCCTCCTCTGAAAACAACCGTCTATCCCACGCAACCGTCCCAGAAGAGAAGGAAGTTGTTTCCTTCTCATCAGAAGATTTAAAATCCTTTAGAAAATGAGCACTTGCTTTTCAGTCTGAGGTAATAACTAGAAGAAAGACAAACTTGGAGAAATTAAAGAAAGGAGAAATTAAAGAAAGTGTGTAGAGGCCTTCTCCCAAGTTCAGCTCTGCTATAATAGTGAATCATGGGCAGCCATAGTACATGCTTGCAGGCAGTGTCTCAGTCTCCAGTGCAGTTGGAAACAGTGAGGCTAAGAGTAAGATTGGGGAATGATGGGTGTGAATGTTAGATCTGCTTCATGGTTTGCTTTGAGTGCTGTCTGCTGCTGGTGGGGGTGTGCCAGATAATTTCATGTTTTTGAAGAATGGCTGTTGGGCATTTTAGTATATGAGCTGGAGGTCTTCAGAAACAAAGGGCAACTCTGATTCTTTGTCATATATAATGCTGCAAGGAGGACTTAAAAAATCAGTTATTTGAAGAATTATGTTGTAGAGTCTTAAGAAAGATCTTTTGATGTACTTCTAATCTAGCAAAAGAACCAGTTATGTTATTGAACACACCATGAGCATCCTGGAGGAGGGTTTTAGCTAACAGCTAATTAGGCAGCTAATTCTATCTTAAAAGCAACTCTTTCTCAGGACAGACTGGCTCTGTGTTAAAAGCTGGCTAGGTGCTTCTGTGTTTAACATCTTGGCCATGTAGGATGTGCATCCAAATTTTAAGTCGTTAGTGAAATTCTGTGGGCAGTGAATGAGGCCTCTTGTTAGCATTGTTTTCTTGTGTGTATCGAAAAATATCTTCCTAATGGTACCATTTAGTGTATACCTGTATTGTGCATTACCCAGTGTGTCTAGACAAGTGCCACACTGGCTAACTGACTGCATACCCAGTATGATAGGATCCCTTTTTAGAGCAGCAGGGATTAAACTGGAGAGGATCAGTGTGGTATTTCCAGTAGGAAGGGCTAGTCTTAATGCCAGGGGAGGCAGGGTGTGCTCCATGGTGCTGGGACAGAGATGCCTCTGAGCACTGTGATCTGGAAGTCTCTGCCTTCCTGATCTGCTTCTTGGCTCTGTTTTTCCTTTCTTCTTCATTTTGCCATTTAGATTGTCAGACCCTGGGCTAAGTTATTTGTCTGCTTAGTCAGTTCTCAGAGCTATAATATAAGTTTGCTTATCTATCTTGGGAACAGGATAAACAGCATCTGCAACATGTCCCATAATCTAGAGATAAGACAGTGTAGAACTGCATAGGCTTATGCTGTGCTACATATATAAAGTTGTTAAAGCTGTTTTAAAATATTTTTCAGGTTCTAAATGGCTTCTAAGAAGTTGGGATCTGAGTCTCATGGTAAGTGAAATTTGGCATCCCTGTCTCTTCAATAGAATGAATCCTACTATTGCTGCTGACTAATGTCCTAGCCTAGACAGTCCATAGAAACTAATCTGTTTAGCCTCTGAGTAGTTTTTTTGTTAGAAATGAAGTGCCTTGGCTTCCTTCTTGCATAGGTGCTTGCTGATGCTGTGCTTGTTCTCTGGTTAAGCTGAAATTCAACCTGTGACTGTTTCCTACTCCTTCATGGCAGAATACTACCTTCCCCTTCCCCCACGTACTCCTTCAAAATCAAAGCTGAACTGCAGTTGTGATACTGATTTGATGTTTGCCGAAGTGGACACTAGATCTAGCTCCTTTCTATGGAAGTCATTTGAACAGCTGGATTGAAAGTGAAGCTTTTAATATATCATAGAACTATGCTTGTTTTTTGCTTAGCAGTGATTTTTTTTTCCTAAATTGGACTAATCTGGTTCATCAGGCAAGTGAAGAAGAGAATATCATCTTCTGCATTTGAGATGCATAGTGTCATGCAGATGTTTGGTATGATAAAATTTATTTGCCTGTGTATGCGCTTATCTCTTAAGGAATAATGTTTCTGTGGAACATTAAAGTTCAGTTAGTTGTATGTAATCATTCAATGCAGTACTGAGAGGTTCATGTGAAATTGCTAACATAATTTTCATGCTATAGAAACTTCTGCTTTTAGAAACTCAGCCTTGATCTTCCTGGATAATCTTTCAGATAAGAGGGTCCTGGGGAATTCCAGTTTTCTTTGAGTTTTTTATTCAGTCTGGCAAGTGTAAAGTTGAACTACAGAAATGCCTCACTAAAATACATGGTTAAGGATTAATAAAAATGGCCTATCAAAATTTAATTTTTAGATGGTCTCCTTTGTGGCCCAGTGATCCTGCTGCAAGACAATTAATTTATTTATTGGATAGCTGCCAGCTCTTCAGCAGTTGTTATCTTGTATCTAGGAACACTCTGAACTGCTTGTCTATTGAGTCTATTTTTACTTCTCTCTTCTACTTCCTAAACCAGACTAGTAAAGACACTGCTCAGAGCTAGAATTCAACCTGTCTTAAATATTTCGCCAAACAGTATGGTGTGGTGGAACATGCTTCTGGCTTCAAAATAACAAAATCAAAACAAATGGTGCTGTAAACTGGCTGCTTGTCTACTCTTTTGTGTACCCTCTGTTCCTAATGATAGCAGTGACACTGTCACTGTATTGTTTCTGAGGAGTAGTGGAACAGCTTCCTTGGCTTATTACGTCTTAAGAAATCAGCAGGGCAATTTTTTTCAGTTATCTCCAGGGTTGTTGAAAAATAATTCCACCAAGTGAATTTTGGCTTGCTGTAAAGCATCTAGTCCAACAGCTACCTTCAGCTCAGTGTCTCTGGCAGGCTGATGAAATCAGTCAACATAGTTGATGCATCTTTTGTACTTATTGTTGAGCTGCTTATTGGAGGTTAGAGGACTGTTGTTGAATCACAGAATGGTTGAGGTTGTAAGGGACCTCTGGAGATGGTCATGTCCAAACCCCCTGCTCGAGCAGAGCCACCTAGAGCAGATTGCTCAGGACTGTGGTCAGATGGAAATGAAGATGGGAACATAAAGTATGAATGGAGTGGAAGGAACACTTTTCCTGGTTTGGAAGGTATTCTTAGCATGCACCTATAACTATGCCTAAGCATGTAACTTCAAATGCTCTCATCATTAGAATAATTGGAAGTTCAAGCTTAAGTTCCAGTAATTAGTACCATCTAGAAATGCAGCTCTCATCTGTTGCACAAAAAGTGTGGGTTATACCAAGTGCAGTATGTTAATATTGCTGTTGTATTCTCACTGTCACTATACAACTTGAAAGCTTTTAACTCCAGTTTCTGAGAATTATGTGTGTTTTGTGGGACCACAAAACCTAAGTTCTACTTGGTTTCAAAACTGTTCCCCATTTATAACTAGTAACTTTTTTTATCTGAAATGTTTCCATTTTTCTACCAAACTGGAGGACACTTCGATGAGTTGGCCAGCATATTAGACTGAAGTGGAGAGAAATCTTACTCCCACAGTAGAAACTTGGGCCAGGAATATCATACAGTACATGGTGTCAGAGATCAGACTGACAGGTACAGTTTTGCCAGGGCTATTCTCAGAACTTCCTCAATATGCTTTTAACTGCTAGAAGGATGAAGTGACTAACAGCCATATTAACTAACAGTTTAAAAAACCCTTTAATTGCTTCACTTTAACATGTGACTATTTAACAGTGGCTTGCATAATACTTTCTATGCGTAGGTTTTGCTCATTGCTTTAGAATTTCTCATTTAAAACAATTTGCACCCTTACCCATCAGTGTGTTCAAGCAGAAGGGTCATCTGTTTACAAAAATAAACAGATTCTTGGCTTTCTGGATCAGATTTTAACTTCACTAGACTAGTACTGTTCTGATTGGGCTGAAACAAAGTGAATACTATGTGCATCAATGTTTTGCTTCAGAAAGACTTTTTACTATCAAATGTCCTAAACCACTTGGTGTGTTTCTTAATGTGTACTTGTGGGTTTTGTAGCAAAGTTGTATTCAAGATGAGGTTTATAGCAGTGGTCATTATTAAAGAAATAAGCATACTGGGAAGAAACTAGGTGGGGTTTGCTATTTGTTTTTTTTCCTGTACCAAAACAAAGAGTGTTGCTATGTAAATACCACAGTGTGTGTTTGTACCCTCTGTGGCTAGTATCTATTTCAGGCAAACAAGAAGTCTGTGCAAGAGGAGGTGTCTACCACTTAGTGTGTCAGTAGGTCTAATAAGACAAGTATTTGTAATGCAGTACGTAAAGATGCATGGGCTCAGCAAAGGGGGTGAAGAACTGAGACATTTATTCAAAGGGTCACAGCCCTTTTATAACCAAACACAAACAGAAAACATTCCTTATTGTCATGGTTTGAGAGCCCCAAAATCCAATTCCCTAGTCCAAGCCCCCCTCCCTCATCTCAACCCAGTGTGAGATGGGTTTTCCAGACACCACATGAGACTCAAAATGGGGGGAAGGGAATATATTACAATGCACTGTACAAATAAATATATTACATTACACACATAATCTTAACTATCTCTACCATGATACATCATACACAATCATAATTATCTTAAGTATTTCTGTAATAAAGCAGTATTTACAATGGATCAAATCTCTTTTCCCTCCAAATAAAAGTCCAGGAGGGAAGAAGGAAGAGATCCTTTCCACTCTCAGAGCAGTAATGTCTCTAGGGCAGCATTCTCTCTTTCTTCCATGCAGCAGCTGTAGTTGGATCTCTGCCAGTACACAAGAGGGGGTCTCTAAGCCCCTCTCGGCCCTTCGACTCCAGGCGAGTGTCTTTCTCTTCCGTGGGCTGCATAGCAGGGACAAAACTCACTTCACCACATCATATCATGGGGTGTAAGACCCCCATGAAGGTCCCTTCCTCAGGGGATTCACCCCTGAGTCAGAACGTCTCGGGCAGCTTTCAGTTGAAGGCCTTAGCCTTGAGAGTTCTATCAGAGCTCCGTGCTCTGATCTCAGGCTGCTAGCTTCTCAGCAGCAGTGAGGGGGGCCAAGGTCACCCCCTCTGCATTCCTTTGGCCGTTCCGGTCCAGCTTTCCGGGACGCCTGAGCTTCTTAGCTCCTCTCTGTCTCTCTGGTGCTGCATTTTAGGACTCCTCTCAGATGGGAGTCCACCACCCCTCCTCTCTATGAGAGGAGAGGTCTCCAAGGAGTTGGGGGGACTTTGGTTTTCAGTTCTTACCCCAACTCTTTCTCTCTTCAGACAACTCTGTGTCTCTCTGATTAGCTGCGTGCTTGGTTTGCTGCTCCTTCAGTTCTTATTTCCTTCTGGCTCTCTGCCACCGCTTCTCTGTTCACTGCTGCTCTGCTGCTGCTGCTCCTGCTGTCCACGGTGGAGGGAAAAAACTTCCAGCTTCTCAGCTACAGATACTTAGTCCAGTCTCACACTGTTCCAAGACCCTGTAGCCCCCCAGCCAGGGGCTGGGGGCCGTGGCCCCCAGAGGGGCTCCTGCCCCTTCCTCGTGGCTTAGAACATGGCCACCTCTCTCCAACAACAACTTCAACTACCTTCTTTTCCGGTCTGGGTGATATGTTTATATTTTGCAGAAGCGCTCATTGGTTTAACCCCAAGGGTCACCACCCCCTGGGGGTTTACCATTTTCTTAACTTCAGGGGGAAAACTGTTTTCCCCCACCACACTTATAAGGCAAAAGGTGTAACTGCAACATCCCATTGGCTGCTAGCTGTTGCCTGGGGAGACTGCAGTTTTTCGGAGCTACAAACTCATCCCTGTAATGAGGTGCTCTGTGCTCTGCAAGGTCTGGTTCTTTTCAGGCCTTCAGCCTGATTATTTCCCACAATTCCCCTCTTTTTATGTTTTAAGAACACTTGTTTAATTGTAAACATTTCAAAAAATATAGTATATAAAAAAATATAAAAATATACATGTAAACCAATCCTAACTGCAACATATATTTAACTGACTGTTTTACCTTCATCCTTTAAAGTGATCCCCAAAAAGGTTAAAGCCTTGCATTAGGCAAATAAAGGACCCAGCCATCCCAAATGTCCTTTATTCCACCGAAGGATCTTGTGTTGTGCCTCGGTGTTTCAGGGATCTGTCCTCTGTCATTTGTCAGCTGGCTTTCCAACCAAGCAGGTCCAAAATGCCATAGCAGGAGAAAGGCTGCAATTTTACGTGGATGGCTGTGGCAATGCTGGTTTAACCCATCTATCTTGAACTAAAACCTGTAGAAACGTAAGCATACTCTCTTCCTCATGTTGTGATGGGAAATGGTCTTTTCCACTGGCCTGTTTGCAAATTTTTGATTATAATTTGGGCTTTTCCTTGAGGTTTTACATTATTTGTGTTCGATTTAAAAATTTAATATATAGCAGGCTTTGGCAACGTGTTCCTTAGGGGTTAACCTGTACTCCCCCCTCTTTTGTTTTTTAAGGAGAGATCTTGAGGGTTAGTGTCGATAGAAGGTGCAGGCAAAATCTGCTGACAGACTGTTGTATAAGTGTGTTTTGAGGTATTGTTGCTTGGATTCACACACACACACACACATACATTTTTTCATTCATGCTGGCAGCCGCCATTCACACTCCACACATACATGTTCTGCATTTTATTCTGTTTTTGCATTGCTTTTTTTGATTGGTCTTGGTGAAACTGTGTGACTTTATGTGGTGTATGTTCTAATACTGTAAGGGCAGAAGGGCACTTACTGAAACAATTAGAAACAAAGGCAAACATTATTTTAACAACAAAACAAAACCCAATACCACGCTGCCACACCAGAAGACTCTACACTGTAAACAAAAAGCAAGCATTCAGTGATTCCACTCCACAGTCTCTGTCTCTGCCCTATCTGATTTCACCGTTCACTGTGGTTCCTCATTTTCAGAGTTAATTTCATTTCTAGGAATTCCTATCTGTAGACACCGCAGGCAGGAATCAGACGACAGTTCTTTCCATTTTCATTGAAAGCAGCTTGTCATTGCTTGCTCAGGCATGCGTCCAGTGTCCTGGCTCCATGGAGACAAACTTAAACATTTCCGATTAATAACAATATAAATTTATACAATGATTGATCTCAGAGGGTGACAGTGTAAAGACAGCTTTAAGTGCTTTAGATCTACAGATATCCCAAAGCAGAAAACATCCTTCCCCCACAGTAGTGCAAGCAAGCAGCTGATAAGGTTTCAGTTTGGTGTGTTTTGTTTCCCTTCCCCCGTATCCTGTAGGCAGGGACATTAAAAGCGAGGGAGGAGAGGGGTTTGGATTTTTTGTGTGCCCTCCCCCACAGACTGCAAGGCAAAAACACTTTTTTCTCCAACCAGAAAGTTGTAAAGTCCTGGTTTTTGAAAGTTTTACTCTTCCCCCACCCTGAGACAGCGGTAGAAGATAAGAGAATCCACCTCCCCCCAACCCCGAGAAACTGGCAGTTTAACAAAAGGCTCTCTTCTGACAGAGAGGCTGCTTGTAGTTGTTCCTCCACTAATGGGTGTGTGAGAAAGAGAGTCTCGAAATAAAATAATTTCCCCAAATTAGAGTTTATTATATAGTAGAAGCAAGCAGTGCTGGGTGACAGATGGAATCTGGCTCCTAAATCTGCCACCCCGATATGGGATACGAGGTCAGTACTTATTTCAGACATCTCATACATATTCATTACATACATGCATATACATTTTACATCGCTATTCCAGGTATTCAACATATGTTTTCTTTTACAGCCAAGACTAATTTGTTATCTCTACAACAAGTTATAAATCCATACATTTCTCGACAAAGAGGCGCCAGCATTCTGTTGATTCGACTTAGTTCGGATATAATTCATGTCCAGGGTAATAGGGAGGGTAATAATCTGTTTTATGTCTTTATGAGGGTGCAATTAAGTTTTACAATCTGTTTGTTTTTCTTCTTTCCTGAGGTTACACTAACCTATTTGTTTCCCATTTGTCTTTTTTATCGACAGGAATTATTGTCTGTGTTTATCGCAGGTGTAAACGTAGTAGCTTTGTTTTAGGGAGGGGCCATTGATCTACCCACACAGGGTCATTTGTTTCCCAGGTTACCTGTGGGATTTGCTGCAACAGAGTGGCTCTTAGGAAAAATCCGTTGTCGACTGATTCCCCTATTGCCTCAAGCAGTCCCTCCCACACAGAGTCAGTGATCCCGGTAGGACTAATGGAGACAGGCTTATTGTCTGAGCTATGTATGACCACGATGTCCTTGCTTTGCTTCGGGGAGGTCAGCCCAGGAATACTTGCTAAACAGACATGAGCGTTCCTTAAGGGCCATTGTTTGGGCCATTGTGAGGCAGATATGACCGTTACGCCTGCTCCACTGTTAACAATGTTTGATATTTCTGTTTTTGCCACCCGTGCCTGCTGTTTAATACGGGTAAAAGGCAATCTCTGCGTGCTTGTGTCCGGAATGGATTTAGAGGCGTGCACGGCAATTTGTGTTATTTGCTGCAGCCTGGCAGGACATGTCTGGGCTTGCACCGTGTGAGAAGCATGTTTACCCTGCCCCATCAAAACATCTGCAGTAACCGTTTGTAAAAGGTTACGTGCCCCCGCAGCCGAATTTGCTATCATTTGTTTCTCTGCTAGCTGCTTCAGTTTGGATTCCCACATTGTGTACTGCATATCGGTCATTATTAAGCGAAATAGTGTTTTGAAATCGTGAGGGGTAAACACTTGGTACGCCCCCCCCCAAAATCTGCATTTATCACCCCCAGCAACACAGTAAGACCTTTTAAAGTAACGGATGACCTGCCGATTAGTAAAGCTGCTTTTTTTGTGACTCAAGGGGCCACATGTAGCAGCCGGTAGCTGCGCGACCTCCGTGTCCCTCAGCGTTACGTCTATTGCTGGCTGTGCTGGCGAGCAGTTCGCAACCCCCCAACCGGAACGCCCGCAGCATGAATCAGAGCGCGGCCAGTGCTGATAACGCGCTTAGCATACACACCGCCCGCCTCAGCACCGACAGCCCTGACCCCTCCAGCATTCTCGGCTCGGGCAGGCGCGTGTCCCCGGCGCTCTCTCGGACCATCCTCTCCTCCTCGTGCCGGAGCAGCAGTGGCAGCCGCGCCCCCCCCCCGCAGCGGAATCTACAACCGCCGTCCCTCTGTCAGCCGTCCCGTCCCACCGCTCCGGAGCCGCCGCAGCCCGACTGGGGCCCCCGGGGAGCTTTCTCCTCTTCCTCCTCCGCCATCAGGCTGTCCTCCGCACAGGAGTGGCCCCGAGCCCGGCGACGGCCGCGTCCCCTCCCCGCACAGATCACGGTCCGGCGAAAACAGACCCGGAGAAACTTTCAAAGCTGCTGCGTCCTCCGCGCGCCCCCCCCCCCCCCCCCCCCCCGTACTCGCGCCCACGTGTTCTGAAAGTTAGGAGAGTATAAATTTAAATCCTCTTCCTTATCTGTAAATTCTGGATCCTCTTCGGAGTCGTCCGACAGAGAAACCGACGCTGCGGCGGCGACACTGTGTAAGCGAAGTTTGCGGGGACGGGGCAGCGGTGAGGTCTTTGTTCCTGGTCGCGCCGCAGGCTCCGCGTATGACGGTAGCAGTGACGGCGGCAGTGGCGGCGCGGAAGGCGTCATCCCAGGCGACACGGGAGAGGCGGCAGCGGCGGGGCATGGAGCGGCGGCGGCACACAAGGCTTCGGCTCGTGCTGCGCCGGCGGCTCGGAATCACCTGCCGTTTCTGCGCGGTCTTCTCCGGAGCTGGCATGAGCCTGCAAAGCCTCGAAAACTGCTCTCCATGATGTTAATAGAGAAGTAGCCATATTATCGCCTAGCGTGGCGCTGTCCCATAGTTTGTAACCGATATCGTCCCAAACTCTCGGGTCATATATTGAGGTAATATTTATTGTGGGAACAGCTTTGGATGCCCACAACAGGAGACGTTCTAAATTTTCTTCTTCTACCATCCTCCCATATTTTTTAAGGAATTTAGCAAAGGCTTGCGAGACTGTCTTTTGCTGTTCAGTTAATGGAGTTCCCAATTCGTTCTCGGCTGCTTACCTTAACGTCCAGCGAAAGGTAATTAAGAGCTCTATTTTCGTCGCTTCCTTTCAGCGAAAATTCCTGTAACGTTCAGCCGAGCTGCACTGCCGGAGAAACAGCTTAGTTTCTGTCATAACCCACTGTGGGCGCCATTTGCAGTGCATTAAGAGGCATGGACTCGGCAAAGGGGATGAAGAACTGAGACATTTATTCAAAGGGTCACAGCCCTTTTATAGCCAATCACAAACAGAAAACATTCCTTATAAGACAAAAGGTGTAACCGCAACTTTGCCCTTGTGACCACTTCCGTACAAATGTGACTTCCCACTTGTATGCCAAAACTTGGATTTTAGTTTAGCTTAGCTGCTCTAAAGCTGGGATTTTTAAAGCCTGTTTTGAATATGACAAAAAAGAAAGATCTTTTTAGAGACATAACAGAATACAGTGTTCAGGAGAGCTTCAGTTTCCAGTTGTATAGGGATAGTCTTGTCACAAGGGAAGCTAAAACATTCGGTATATTGACTTGAAAATCTGTTAGTTATTGGATTGTTGTGTGTTTGGGTTTTCTTTAGTAGTTATGAGCTAGAACATTACAAACAAACCAAACCAAAAACCTACCACCAAAAAAACAAAACTGAGGCAATGAAGTCCAAACAGATTCAACTTCCTTTGTATTGAGTCACCTGGTATAGTTTGGGCAGCAGAGATAAATAGCTCCCAAATACAGAAATGTGAGTCTTAATCGAATGCATTAAACTTGTAAGTTTCTTTATACAATTTCTGCTTTTGATCTTAGGTCCTTTCAGTTATCTTGATGATGTCCCATTTAAGATAGGAGACAAATTTAAAACCCCAGCAGAGGTTGGATTACCCACTGATTTCAGCCTGCCTGATTCTTCTAAGCTTGTCAGAGAAGCCCAGGTAAGTGATGTGTTTTGCCTTTCTGCTCTCTTCCCCCTGGCCCCCAACATGTGGTGCTGTAAACTGCAAGTAGTCACAGTTTGCACACATATTCAATGTTATTCTTGATGGTCCCATAGTGTCATTTTGTATGCCAGGCAGTAGTTGCAGAAGATCTGTTAGAATGTATCGAAAGATAAAAATATAGGCTGTGCAAAAAGCTTTTACTTTTTAAAAAACTTAATAATATTTATTTTAGTGTATCTACTTCAAAAAAGCAGAGCATTTTTGTTGTAGTAGTTATAGGTCTAAATATTACCCTGACTAAATTTGAGTGACCCCGCTAGGCTCGGGGGCTGCTGCAGGCGCTGTGCAGGACGCCGCGCCGGCCCGGGGGCTTCGCGCGGGCGGGAAACTTCCGCGCTGTGCGCACGGAGCTCCGCGCCTGGCCGGTGGCCCTGAACACGCCATGCGGGACCCCGCTAGGCTCGGGGGCTGCTGCAGGCGCTGTGCAGGACGCCGCGCCGGCCCGGGGGCTTCGCGCGGGCGGGAAACTTCCGC